AAATTCACATTGTAAATAGGATCACTTATGATAAAAGAAAAAGAAAGACTAATCCTAATTTTAGTGGAAAAACAAGGATTCAAATACTTTGCAACTTGATGGGTAATAAGCACTTCTAATGTATCAACAATAAACAATGATGATATTCAAGAAATGAAAGAACATTTTTCATTTGAGGAAATATTAACCACATGCTTGCATATATAATTGAACAAAGTCACTATTGATCAATTCATCCATGGCCAAAATAAAAGAGATGAATAACTATGTATCAACCAAACAATTATGGTCCATTTTAATGTTAACCTTACTTAAGAAACTAAGCATGGAGGACTTTAGAATTAGGATAGAAAAAATAAATTTCTAACACTAAACTATCAAAAGTCTAAGCCTAGAGAAAATTCAAGACACATACATGTACACATGAAAAATAAAACAAATGGTCATTTGCAGGTTCCTAATAACGCAAAGGGACAAAAGAGTAGACGTAAATTTATTTATTTTTTATAAAATTGCACATTCTTGAAGACAAATCAAATACATAGTTCAAGTAAAGTTCAGGCACATGTAGTTTTGATAATCCTAACAAGTTGAAACTAATTACAATGGCAAGCGATTATGATCGATCCGAAATTTCGAAACTAAGCTTAACAAGATAACCTCTTGAAAATGAAATCAATACGAATATGTGAGAGTCAGAATCAATAAGATCCAAGACAAAAAGAAAAGAGAGTCCAAAACAGACATGGGGAGGGATGAACTCGAGACCGAACGGACTCATCAAGAATTCAAGCGAACAACCAAACAATCAACATTCAAGATAGGCAAAGCTTTGCCACTGGTTTGCAGCCGAAATAAGTTTTAAAAAAAAAAACAATCTGAAAATTTTAACATTTAAATGCTTCACACGGCCAAGAATCCAACATATCAACACATCAGAAAATAAAAGACATGAACCGAAATAACATTTACCTTTCGAAGTGCAGCGAAACTAGGATAACAACGAGCCTGAAAGGGCGATTCTTTTACCACAAACTTCGAATATAAAAGCGAGCTAAGCAAATCCGAGAGTCGTTCTTTTGTAAGCTATTTTCCTATATGACCTCAAAATCCCAATTTCTTAACCTCTGTCCCCTAATCACTGAAGGTATAGAACTCTTTATAGGAAAACAAATGGACGATTTAGTGGGGAAACTCGGTGGATTGGATAAATTTCAAATTTTGAAATTCCAAATCTTGGAAGACGGAAACAACTAGAATAGTACCAATTCTCAACGGATTGAGAATTGTATCCGCTGATCTTGATGCCAGGATGAGTGAAGCGCCGAGATTACTCCATCTGGCACTGCTTTTTGAACAAATCATACTGTTGAAGCAGAAAAGGAAGACGAAGAGTATGGGCGAGCACTGTTGGCGCTGCTTGGAGATGCGATTGATGTGACGAGTCTGCATTTCACGCTGATTTCTCGCCGGCTTTGGTGGGATTTCTGGGTTTCGGTGGACGCGGAAGAAGAAGAAAAATGCATACAGGGGTCTGGTATTTGGTACCCGTTTGTATTGTTGGTGTGGGTATTGAAATGGGTTTATGTATGGAGAATGGGTTGTTTTGGTATGCTGTATGTATTTGCTGGAATGGGTTTCTGGAATTGAGTTGGTGGGCTGCTAATGGGGATTTGGGCCGGCTGGAAGGTTGCTGAAAAGGATTGGGAATGGGCTGAAAAATGGTCCAAGAAGTGGGATAAAAAGATAGTTGGATTTGAAAATAGGAAATGGCCACATGAATTGCAATTATGGCCAATGGAAATTAAGAAGTTAGCCATATTGAGTTTAACTTAGGGAATTTGACTAAAATTTAATTATGATGAATTAATATTGATTAATTAACGAGCTTCTTAGTTTCAACGAAATAAAATAACTTACTAATCTATAAACTAATAACTCAAGAATATAAGTATTAATTAACTAAACCAATTAACCAACTATTTAAGTAAAACTAAAATCTTTTGAGACAATTTTTGAATATTCATAAAATATACTAATTATATACATAATTAGATAAAACATATATATTATCTAAAAATTATAAAAAGTGACAAAACTATTTAAAATAACTTGATTTTTTTTTTTGAATTTTTATAAAACTAATTATTTTAAATCGTTTGAGATTGAAGAAGCTCGAAATTATTAATTTATATTGTGGAGGTCCAAAATTGGGTGTCAACAGGGGATTGTGAGGGGAGGGCTCCACTTAGGAGGAAGGTGTGAGAGCCATGCGCCTTACAAGGCGTGGCCTCACACGTTATATGTTAACCGCGTTAAAAATGTTCGAAGGTGTGGGGATCATGTACCTTTACCCCTTTGCTCTTTAATTTTTTTGTTGTCCTTTTGGAATTTTGGCAAAAAAAAAAAAACAAAAAAAACTTGTCCTTTAGGCTTTGGACTACAAAATGGACAGCTAAAAGTACAAGCGGATGAAGTTTCAAAGAAAAAGAGTATCCCAAATGAGAAGAAACAAAATTTTAGGAGAAGTTAAATGAAATTATTGTAATGGGTGGAGCCATTTTAGGTGAAGGGTGGTTTGGTGCACACACATCACTAGAAAATTATGTGGTATATCTAAATTAAAAATTAAATATTATTCTGTTATTACAAGTGTAAATTTAATTTTTTACACCCTTAATATAACTAAGAAAAATATTTACATCGAGGACAGTTCTGTGAATTACTCACAGAAGAAGATGCCATAGATTCAATTAATTGTTTGAAAAGAAAAAGTGAAGTGTATGGATCGGATGCGATCAATTGATGAACAAATTAATTATATAGAGGAAAGAAGAAATAAACATTCCAGTCAACTAATAATATTAATAGGAAATTTCTTTATGTCTTGCATTAATTATTATGAAAGTTTTAGCCATACATATTATTTTTCTACTAATTTCTATTGCTTCTCGATAGATCATTTATGGTTATGGACCCACTATTCATCTGCACAAAGAAAAATTGAACCATATTACTATTACGACCAAACAATACAAATCCCACTAGCTTAGAGTCTAATTACGTATTTTTATTTTAGTTTCTGAAATTATCTTTCGTATCATATTTTTACTTCGTCAGATACAATCAACTGGGCACTCAGATACATGTATCTTAAATATATGCACGTCAAATTTGGTGTAATCTGTTTCAAATACACTGTATATTCAAGTGTGACACATATGTATCTAAAAGGTGATTATTTTTAAAGTTCATACAAAAAACTTGTAATTGTTTTACGAGTATCTTCACCTCCCAGTAGTCAACTAGTACATTTACATTGAATATTACTCACCCATAGTAAGTAGTAGGAAATTTCTTCACGCCTTCCACACATTTATATTTGATTGTGACATGGATTAAAGTGGAGTGCTAACAATTGTGCATGAAGTTGACGAATTCCAACAAAAATTGGGAAAAGGTCACCCAACTCCAGCCTCAATAATAAATGGAGTTAAATACATTTGGGGTGTATTTAGTAGAGTAAATATACACATATATACAGGGGCGGACCTACAGTGGTTCAAGTGGGTTCATATGAACCCACTTCGTTGAAAAATAACACTGTATATATATGTATATTTAATCAGTTTTTAAAATTTTATATGTATATATTAAATTTTGAACCCACTAACACAAGTTGAAGCTTGGCCGAGTGGCTGAGGGGGTTCAATTTTCCCAGCCAACCCGGGATCGAATCCCTATAGCCGCATTTCAGTTTTAATTCGTTTTTTCACACACAATTTTGTCCCAAGTAACTTTTGTCCTTTTAGTTACTTAGGAACTATAAAAAGTAGAACAACTTTTTACTTTTACATTTAAAGTCCAATAGTCAACAACTTTTGTCCTTTTTGTTTTTAGTTTTTTTTTTTTAAAAAAAACCTCAACTAAAAAGGCACTAATCCCTATTATTTTCAATTCTAAAAATCCTTTTATCTTCTTCTTTGTTGAAATCATCTTGAACCTCTCTTACTTTTCCCCCCAAAATTTGAGCATATTTTTTTGTTGAAGGAAAAAAACTCTCCCCATCTCTCAAATCTTGCACAAGTATGTTTTTCGCTCTTGATTCTAGTCTTTATATATACATATATGATTATTGTGGTTATTTTTTATTTCTTCAACTAAAAAATCCCTTATCATTCTAAAATCAACAAAAAATTACAAATAATATTAGGTATGTTTCTATGTATTCAATTCTGAAATTAAGGTTATAATTATTTTGTTTAATATTTTGTTTTTATTTGTTAACCAGCCTCAATAATAAATGGAGTTAAATACATGTGGGGTGTGTTTAGTAAAGTAAATATACACATATATACAACCCCCAAGCCTTTTGTTATGGTACGCATTTCAATACAACATGTCGACAAAAGTGCATACTTCTTCGAAAAATTACATTGTATTTATATGTTAAATTCTACATTTAAAAGATATATATTTAAAGTTGGACACTCTTGATAAAAGTTATGTCTTTGGCGCAGTGGTAATTGGTGTCCAATTGAATGATGGAGTTTCGGGTTTGAACCCAAATAGCACAATATTTTTTTTATTTTATTTTGACTGCCACACACCATTATTTTTGGACATCCTTAATAAAATTTCCGGCTCCGCCATTAGGTGTGAGATCCATACGCATGGCTTTCTTTTTACATTGTTAACCGCGTTAAAAAATTTGGGTTATGGTGTGGGGATCATGTGCCTTTATCCCTTTGCTCTTTAATTTTTTTTATTGTCCCTTTTGGAATTTTGGCAAAAAAAAAAAAAACTTGCCCTTTATGCTCTGGACTACAAAATGGACAGCTAAAAGTACAAGCGGCTGAAGCTTCAAAGAAAAAAGAATATCCCAAATGAGAAGAAATAAAATTTTAGGAGAAGTTAAATGGAATTACTGTAATGGGCGGAGCCACTTTAGGTGAAGGGTGGTTTAGTGCACACTTATCGCTAGAAAATTATGTGGTATATACGAGATTAAATATTACTCCATTATTACAGGTGTATATTTAATTTTTTACACCCTTAACATAACTAAGAAAAATATTTACACACACTTCGCTAAACTCATAACTCCGCTACGAATTTTATTGCTCCACAAGTACTTCTACTAATGTACATATTTATTAAAATATGCTTTTTTGACCGATTATTTATCTTCAATACAATAAAGTCTACTCTCTTTGTTTGGTCAGTCACAAAGAAATTGCTTGGACATTACCTTACAGTTTCAAATAAACAAGGCCCACAACTTGTTAGGTAGAGTTTCATTTTATGTCGTTCTATTTAGATTATTCTTATTAATTTAATTTATTTTCTGCTGACAAATGTTTTGATCCTAAGGTGAGTTTTAATGGATATCAATAAAATCGATATGATGTTTCAAGTTAAAATTTTATCTGAGGCAAGACTTCTACATATTCTGTCTAGCGTAAATTTGCTAAAAAAATATGTGATTTAGTTCCTTTTGCCAGCAAAATGAATTATTAAAAAAAGAAGAGAAAATTCAATGTATCTGATAGCAAAAGATAGGTATGTTCATCTCTTTTGACAACTCTGATTCTAATTCACACAATTCCGACTCCAGTGGAATACGTTTGATTCCTGGAAATAGTTCCCTTTGGCTCCGTTAGCTTTGTGATGTGAGGCGACTTACTAATAGTTCCAATGCTCATCTGCAATTCCCTCACTCTCTCAAGTCATGCTGCCTCTTTAATATCCGTTGAATATACATCTGCATAAAGACGTATTTAAAACAGAGATTTTGTGCTAATATAACAATCTGAGAGAGCAATACTTACAAAAGTGTATTTCTCGACATGAAAATGTTTGATGCAGAAGTATTAAAAGTACTGACCCGTCGTCTGCCATAAAGTTTTTTTTTTTGTTTTTAAAGCAGAGATTTCCCCAAATATAACGATCAAAAAGAGCATGAAAATAAACTAGTAGCAAGTTTTAAAGCCGTGGATCAGTTGCTACCTTTGGGAAATACACTTTGCCTTTTCTCTGTGAACTTAATTATAACACGGTAAAATCTTGATATCGGTTGAATATACATCTGCAGAAAGACGCGATTTGTATATTCGTATCTTGGAACTTAGAAATTTAATTCTCTCACATAATCTCCATAGAATGAATAATAATTTCCAAAGGGTTGCTTTACTTGAGGATCAATAAAGGTGCAATTATTAGATCTCTTATTTACTTACCATTTTATATTCAACATGCAAAGCTTAAAAAATTAAAACTTGTTCACATCCTTTAACTCACCATGGTTAATGATGGCTCAGCACAAACGGAGACAAGATGGAGGATTAATTTGGTATAGGAGAAAGAAGAACGGAATTTTTTTTTATTGGTTATGAAAGAAGACTTTGTTGCAAACAGAAGGAGAGAATTACATAACAAGAGAGAGAGAGAACGCAATTTTTGCTATGTGGTCCACAGTAATATGAATTACATAACAATATGAAAAGTTTCCAGGAAGATGGGGTCTACTCCAATTGTATTGAATTATTGCTATGTGGTCCACAGTAATATGAACACAATGGAGGCTGCAAAGAAAGACTATACTTTGGAAAATATCTCAGTTGAATTGAATTATTGCGAGTTAATTCTACCATTCTATTTGATATCTTGTACCCGCATAGGGGCCTGACTTGATTCAGATTTGTGCCGAGAAGTCTCACATAGAGGGTAAAACACTCTATAACAAAGGTTACTCAATATTCAAGGCTCGAACCCTAAATAGTTGGTTAAAAATGGAAGGGTTATTATCATTATACCTAACAATGGAGAATTTTTAAGTTTTTTTTTTTTTTTTTTTTTGGATTTAGATTTTTTAAAAATAATAAATCAAAAAATTAAGTTGAGAGTCAAAATTACTAGGTTTTGTCAAAAAAAATACTAGGTTTAATATTGAAATTAACTAGTACTCCCTCCGTCCCATTTTATGTGGCACTTTTTGGATTTCGAGATTAAAACAAGTCTAATTTTGACCGTAAATTTTTCATAGATCTTTTAAACATTTTGAATTATCAATTGTTGTGACTTATAGACTTTTTACGTAGTTTACAAATATATAAATTTCATTTCAAAAAAATTGAAGATTTCATGTGCAAATTCCCGGTCAAATTTAAACTGTTTGACTCTCGTAAAACAAAAAGTGCTACATAAATTGGGACAGAGGGAGTAATTCTTTTCGTTTATGGTTATGGACTCACTCTAAGAAAAAATGGACCATATCCCTGCTTTTGATTGGTTATTATCTTGGAAAAAAATGTAAAATTAAGTACTCTCTTGTAAATTTATATGTATTCCTTTTTAGTCTGTCTAAGAAAAATGACACAAATTTCTATATTTAATAAAAAAATAATTTTAAAATGTTTATTTTCTCCTTAATGAAATTATTTTAAATCAAGTTTCAAAAATATTTCTTTGTTTCTTTGATTATTGCATACCCAAGTTCTTTTGTGAATCTATTAGGTAGTTTTCCTACTATTGGATCAAAATGAATGGATGAAGTCAAGTCATGTTGTCGGTGACAAAGCAATTGCCCTTCTTTTTTCTTTATACCTTTATTTGCTTGTACTTTTAGTGGTCCATTGATGTGCATATTACATTGGAGTTTCCAAGATATTTCCTACATTTTATTGCATTTGACTAGTTATTTATCTTCAAATGCAATGAAGTCTAGTCTTCGTAGTGCTTTGTCTGTCACAAAGAAATTGCTACGATGCTGTCTTACCATTTCAAATAAACAAGGACCACAATTCGTTTTATTTAGATTATTTTTATAAGAAATTCAATCTATTTTCGATGAGAAATTTGAAAGGTTTCCAGGAAGATGGGGTCTGCTCCAATTGAATTGAATTATTGCTATGGGTCCACAGTAATATGAATACAAAGGACAGCTCAAAATATAAGTGGAAGAAGCTGCAAAGAAAGACTTCTACCTTAGAAAATATCTCCATTGAATCAAATTATTGTGAGTTAATTCTACTCGGTATCCTGCGCTTGCATAGGAGCATGACTTAATTCAGATTCGCATAGAAATTAAAGTCTCATATTGAGAGTAAAACACTTCTTAACAAAGGCTACTCAATATCCAAGGCTCGAATCAAAAATGTTAGTTAAGAATGAAGGAATAATTATGACTCTACCGCAATCATTATGGTTATCCCTCTCTCTTTCCTGCCAAAGAAAAAGACCCCTTAATTTTTCTACATTTGTAGTCTTAAATGATATATAGGTACAACCTTTATTAGTTCCTTAGTTTTTTTTTTATCGATAGATTTGTTGCAACCTTGGAACTTAAAGGATAATGAGTCCATCTCCTACTCTTCTCACTTAAATATCAAGTTTAGAGATGTGCATTATTTGGGTTAAATCGAAGGATGTTTATCTAACCAACCTTTGGTCTATGAGGCTTCGCTGCTGATTGTTCCAGGGAAGGTATTTATATATGGCGCTAGTTATTTCCAACCAACATTGAGTACTACTAAAAGAAGTACTGGAATTCTATGTTGCTCGGACTCTCTAAAAATATCAATGCAAACGGAGGAATGTGATTATATTTCGACAAAATTCAAATAGAATGAATTATTGCATACCCAATTTCTTTCATGAATCTCTCTCTTGGGCCAAGAGTCGAGTTGTTCTGTTACAAACAGAGGAAACATGTGCCCGTCACAGGCAGAATCACCGGGTATTTTTCTTGGTTACCAGTCTGCTCTGCAAAAGTAATTCAAAACCAGAATAAAAACATAGTTAATAAGATAACAGGTAATCACATATTCCTAATCCGAAACGATCACAACATGTCTAATCATGAATTAGTGCATTTCGTCTTTGAGCAAAGGGCTTAAAAATCTACCATTCAATGTTTAGAAAGTGCATCTGCTGTCATTTTTCTCATGTAATAGACAAGTTAATACAACAGTGTTTTTCTGTACTTGAGAACTCTTTAATACGACACTCTTTTCTTTTTAGTCTGTTCTAGAAAAAGAAATGATCCATATCAGCAAGCCTCACTTGTCATTTTCACCACAATGCAATGCAATTCCTGTATTTAGAGAAAGCAGAAGATCTCTCTATTATGTCACACAACTACAATTCTGAGATTAAAAAATAAACAAAATAATATTTGTTAGAACCATTAAGAGGAGAATCAAACTCACTGCTGATATGTACATCACCCATTGCCAATAGGGAAAAGAATAAGAAGAAATAATTTATATATAAACAGAGAACACAATTTCATGAGTTATATACCTAGCTATATTTAATCTATAATCCCGGGCTTGTAGGAAAGAGCTGCAAGAATGGCCTTTGTTTCTTAGAAGAGGAGCAACTGGCCTCTTCTTCATATCTGCTCTTCTTTATCCCAATGTGAAGCTCAGCTTCATCTTTATACAACAAACGAACTCCATGTTCCTTCTCTTCTCCAAAAACTAAACTAATAATGTCATAGTCATTTGGTGTTTTTCCATTTGCATTAGATGCATCCCATAAGCCAACAAGAGGTACCAACAAAAAATTAATACTATCTTCCTCAAAATCTTCTGAATAATTGGACAAGGCAAGTTTTTGGGTCATCAACAACGACGACATCCCATCATCACATAAGGGAATCCAATGAGATGTGATGTCATCAATAAATTTGCCAGAGTAACATACAGCCAATCCCAAGAACTTATCCGATACATACCAATTCTTAGGCAGATTGACTGATACACGTGAACCCATTCCCTGATAGTAAAACCAACTTGGGATATTCTCCGGCCAACTCGTAAAAACTCTTAGTGACAAGGAATCTGAAACAAAGATGTCATGCTGCAATACTGAGATATTCTGAAACAACGAATTACAGATTGAATCATTGCTCCAATCTGCATTTATTGTATGTAATTGCTGTGGAAATTCTGGCAGCTGTGTAAGCCTCTTACAATCTGTTAAGTCCAAGGTTTGAAGAGCACCAAGCTGGGATATGCTTTGAGGGAAATGCTCAAAATTATTTCCCCTGAGATTCAACACTTCCAAAGAGGGTAAGGATCCAATGTCTTCCGGAATTATTAGATTGCAGTTAGTGATTTCCAGAATTTCCAAAGAGCGCAGCCCTTCATTCACCTGAGGGAATACAAAGAATACTCCATCTTCAGATATAGGTTGTCCAAAACTCAAGAATGCAAGATTGTTCAAGCGAACGATGGAAGACGGAGGTCGTGAGATTAGAGTATAGGTGGCATGAAGCTCCACCAAGTTTTCTAAATCACCTATCTCTTCTGGCAAACTTTCAAGTTTTGAGCAGAACGACACATCTAGCTTCACCAAACCTTTCAACTTACAAATGCTGCTTGGAAGAGATACAAGGTTTTTCATCTCACACAAATCTAGTTCTGTACGATGAGGTTGGAGATCAAAGATAGATAATGGCAGTTCCCTTATCCCAGAGTGTGATATCTTAATCTCTAACTTCGTCTTCATTATTCCAAGGAATTCTGGAAATTTCTCTAAACTTCTGCAGTAATTTAGATTCAGAGATTCAAGAGATTCCATATTAACTGGAAACCTCTCAAGGCTTCTACAGTCACACAAATTTAGTCGGATGAGTTTTCCACAATACTCCAGGGAATCGTGAATCTCTTCGAGACTCGTACATTTCTCTAGATTCAAATACTCCAAATTTGGCATCCCCCTGAAATCGGGTGTTCTCTTCAGGCTTCCGGAGTGACTTAGATCTAGCCTCCGTAGAGACGACAATTGCTGCTATTCAAAACATTAAGAAAGAATGATGAAATATGAGTAAAGTAGTAAACTACATTTTTTAGATTATGACTCAACGTGTCAAATTAGAAATTGTTTATTTTACTTTATATGGAAATTACATGCTCAAAAACTAGATAAAAATCATGTTATTATATATAAAAGGTAAAATATCTATATAAAAAAACCTTAACCTTACATATTTTATTTGGTGCACATTTAAATATTGCAGCTCTTAAGTGTCCCCTATATTGCTTCTTCTTGATAGAATGCACATTTTAACCCAATTTTTTGTTCTCATTATTTAGTTGTGATGGCTCTATTTGTTTCACTTGTTTTTTTTTTTTTTGTTTTGGGATCAAATTTATTGCCAAAAAACTTGGTAGCTCTACTCCCTACTCTTTCATGGTACCTCTACCCCATACCCTAGTTTTCTTGTGGATTATCATCAAATTATGGATATCTAACATTATGTAACGACGGAGAACGATACAATATATTCAAATATTATATTTTTGATTCATACAAATGATTCATGTAGGTGCAATTATGATTTCAATAAATCATTTTTGACGTACCTATATGCCATAAGTATTAGGTATACGTATCACAAATAATTTCTAATTTTTGCATATTTACACCATGATTATCACGTACTGTTCTCTCACGTACGAGATGCTTTTGCAGACCGTTTAATAGAACTTTTAGTAGAAATTGGCCAATAAAAATAAGGTATGCGGCATATCTCTCCAACAATTTTTGCATTTTTTTGCAGGAGTAATTTTTAATAAATTTGATTAACATTTGATTATTTTATTTTTAATTAGATTTTAATAAATTAATGCATGTGTATTTTACAAAGTAGAGCTTCCTTGATAGCTTTAGTTTGACAATGACTTATTGAAATTATATTTTGCTTTAATCTCCTAGATTTCGAGGTAAAAAAGATTACTAATGCCTCTCTATCAACAACAGCGAGCAACAGAAATCGAGAAAATCTCTGAAGAAGACATATTCTAACAAATGAGGTAATTTAATTTAATATGGAGTACTTAAAAGTCAAATATGAACAACATTAAAATTTATCTTTCTAAATATGAAAGAGAATAACAATCTTAAAGAGTAAAACATATAATAGAAATTGAATTCGAATATAACATATAAGCAGTAAAAGAGATTATTAGTTAGTGGTTAAAAATTTTCACTTCTGACATGTTACCAATTCTCAAAAAAAAGAAAAGAATTTCACTCCCGACTCCGACAATATTTCCATTTTATAACTCAAAACCATTAAAGATAAAAAAAAAATTATTATCATAATAATAAAGAACAAACTTGCAACGCACGTTACCAGAAACTAGTTTTATATAGTAGTAGCGATCCAACGTGCAATGCACGTTTCCAAAACTAGTAATATAAAATACATTAATTAGAGATTATGGAATTACTAATAACTTCTTTCATTTAAACATAAAAATCATAAATCTAGGACGAGACAAAACAGAAAGTATCTCAAATAGAATGGTACCTTTGTTTCAGTCCATAAATGATGCAACGAACTCCCCTGAAGATTAAGACAAACAAGGCTTCTGGGACTAAAATTTTCTGGCAATAACTTCCAAGGATAATTATGCCATACAAACCAACACAAGTTGTTGGACAGGTACTCAATGGAGCCATCATAAGAATTTAAGCGAGATGGAGAGGAGGAGGGTGTCCAATAAAATATGTTCCCATTACGTATGCATAATATCCTAAGCCTTGGCATATTTTTTATTACGTCTTCGCTAAAGCATAGTTCTTTAGAACAAGTAAACGAGATTACTTCCACTGTCGTGGTCCTCTGCAAAAAAAATCACGAGTACTCACAAATCATAACTTCACATGCCGTGAACAATACACTTATCATCACTATTTTCATGTTTTGTATTATTTATTATTGCACTTGAAGTTCTTGAAGAGCTAGCTAGCACCATTAAACAAAATTTAAGGTACAATATTAGTTAGGTATTTCTTAAGAAATATACCGCTTAAGAGAAATGTTTTGTGCAATTAATTATATTTTCTAATGATACATTTTTGGTGAAGTTTCACTTAATAAATGGATACAACGCCAAAGCTTCACTCAATAAAAAATAATTAATGATCAAGTGAATTCTGGACCAAGGATTTGCAAGGTAAGTTTTGGCCCTCCTTACTTGTATTTTTTCCATTCAAAAATTTCTATTAACAAAAGGTTACTCAAAGTAAATAGTTGGATAATATTAACTTAAAAAGTTGCTAATTGAGTTTATACATAAAGAGTATCGTACAAATTTCAAGTTAATTTAAAGAATGAAAGTTAGATCTATTAAACATATTAAGCGGATACTAGACTAATTCATGGCTTGATAACATAAGATATATGAAAACTAAAAATTGAATGTTATTGCAGTATTTAGCCTACTTACAGTATTATTGACCATCACATCTTCGAAATCTTCAATGTTCCATAGTCTGCTAGGTTTTCCGGAATCTTTTTGCATTTCCACCACATATCTACCCATTTTTTGAATTTCGTCATGCATTTGAATTGTATCATATTTCGATATGAACACAAGGGATTTCTCAATTAGACCATGCAATTTGATACGAGCGCCCAAATCATAGCTCTCAAGAATTTCAATGGTCTCATTTTTACTCATCCCTCTAAAGAAGCATGCGATATCTAGAAATATCGTTTTCTCTTTATCTTGCAACCCTTCAAAACTTATTTTGAGGTTTCGAACAATGTCTGGACTAGATTCTCTCTTTATCATGTCTACACTTTCTCTCCACATAATTGTATCTTGATTATGTAACCAAATCCCCCACAATCTCAATGCTAAAGGAAGACCTTTAGCATGACTTACTACCTCCAACGCCAGCTCCTTAATATGCTCATCTGGAGCTTCGCCCTTGAAAGCATAATGATTGAACAATTGAATAGCATCATGTTTGAGTAGTGTAGTCACTTCATGTACTACATTATTCTTCCCTATAATTTGCTTGTTTCTAGTTGTTGCAATAATTCTGCTGCCACTGCCAAACCAACTAAGATCCCCTGCCAAATACTCCCAATGATCATGATGATTAATGTCATCAAGCACAACTAAAACCTTCATAAAACGAAGTCTATGAGCCATCAGACGCTTCCCTTCCTCCTTACTATTCACATATTTTTTTTCTTCCCTTAACAGTTCAGAGAGAAGGATATTTTGTAGAGAATGCATTTCATTAGTGTTGGTTTCTTTTACATCTGCAAGGAAACTTGCACCCTGAAATTGAGGTGAGAGTGTATCAAAAACAACTCTTGCTATAGTCGTTTTACCGACTCCCCCCATTCCCCAGATCCCCAAAATCCGGACATCATCAGTTTTCATCTCTAGTAGGGATTTTACTTCCTCCAAATGAGTATCTATTCCCACAATATCTTGCAAATAAGATGAAGAAGTCTTGCATAATTTGGAAGAAACATCGTCAACAAGTTCTCGAATACATTCTGATTCAATCCTACAAAAGTAAGAGCATGATCATGATAGAAGGGACAAGACGCATAAATCGAACTCCTCAAAATATTATCTATGTAACAATGTCATTGAGTAATTAAATTGATATAAATATATAAAAGTGACTTTAGCAAGTAATTTTGGTATACTTGGATGACCATAAAATTTATTCACTCGATAGAAATAAATAAATTTTTGAGGTACACATTTGTTCTATAGTAGAATATTAGCAAGTATGATTCAATATATATGTTTTTCACTCACCTGTCATGAATATTACAACCTTTTAGATCCGCGGCATGACTTAGAGCAGTCCTCCATCCTTTCACCTTCTGTATTCCTTCAATATCATTGTTATACTTCTTTTCGTGTTTGGCAAAGGCTTCTGCAAAGCTCTTTGTTTGCTTCCGAACTTCTGATGGATACACATCATAGAAGACTGGTATGACTATTTGTCCATTTTCTTCCTTGCATTCCATGATCTTCACTAATTCATTCAAGCACCACCTCGATGTAGCATAATTCTTTGAGAAAATGACAAGGGCAACTTGAGACTCTTCGATAGCTTTCAAGAGTTCTTCTGGGATGGAATCGCCATTCTCTAGCCTTTTATCGTCTTGAAAGGTGAATATTCCCCTGTTTTTCAAACCTTCGTACAAGTGACCTGTAAATGTTCTCCGACTGTCGACACCTCTAAAACTTAAAAAGACATCATACTTCCATCGCGGACAATATTGTGAATCACTCGCAAAAGAAGAAGAAGAAGAAGATGCCATGGATGTCTAAGAAGAAAACACAAACTATGTGTAGGTGTGATAATTATAAGATGAAGAAATATAAAGCAAAATGAAATTAAGATGAGTGTTTCTGTGAAATAAGCAGCTTCTTAATGCTCTCTACTCCACTTGTCATTAGAATTATTAGGAAATTCCTTTAAAAAGAAGATGAAAGCTGGTGAGAAAGAAAAAGTGAATTACATGGCCCTACTTGAATGGAAAAAAAGAATCAACTATAAAGAAAGAATATGTACTGTAACAGGTTGCTTCATCCATCAAAATATGTCTATGTTGTGTTTGGAAAGGAGGAAAATATATTCCAAAAAAATGTTCGATTTTCTTATGTTTAATTGATCAAAAATGTTTTAAAATATTGCTATTACTAAAAATAAGTTATTTAAATATAAGGAAACTGATTTTTCTAGTAGAAACAGGGAAAACGGGCTTCATAAGTGTTATTCTACACCGATTATAAAAAGAATGTATGCACAATGAATAATTGAATCCATGTTGAGCCACACCCACCCCAACTTTAATAAGAGGAAGTGGGAAAGTTAGTGAGAAAGAAAAAAGTGAGAGATTTGTCTTTTCCTTGATTAAACTAATTTATGGATGGAAAAAGCGAGCTTCAAATTCTAAAATATGTTAATAATGGTTTTCTTCGTCACCGAAAGCAGACGACTTGACTTCCAAAAACACTATACAAAGAAGAAGATGTTAACACAAATGAAATATAGCTGAAACTCACATTTAGAGGTATAATTTTCTATAGTTTTCCTATTTTTAATTTATTTCTAGAATATGGTGTAGCTTTTTTAGTATATTTTTTGTTATTTTCCATATTTCTTTTTAGTGTCAAGTTTAGTCTTTTGTGTTGCATGTTTTACTCGTAAAAATAAAAAATGACTTGTTTTCGAAAAATCAACTAAACTTATGAATTGAAGAGAAATCAACTTTCCGACTAGAGTCATCACTTAATTTTTAAAAGAAATTAAGAAAACTTAAAATTTCGAAGATTGAAACAGAATAAAATCATTTCAAATTTAAAAAGGGGGGTTCGGTGTTCAATTTACATTCCAAGAGGGTGTTAGGCCCTTGAAATGCCCACTAACTTGCGGTTGACCGACGATTTGACTAAAATGACGTTTCAACTAACTTTAAATTTTTAACTAAGTTTAAGAAAGAAAGAAGATTTTAAGTTGTTACTTTTTAAGGAAGGAACTCCACATAATTCATATTGAGACAAAATAATTAATATGTAACTAAATATATAAATAAGATAATAGGTGTTTCAAAAAGTAAGAAAGGCTATTTTGGAAAACTTAATTAAACTAAACCATAGGAAACAAATAAAGTTAGTTAATCAATAACAACATAAATAATAGGGCAAATTACAGAAATCACATACTTTTAAGACAAATTACAATCTATCCCTTAAAAGTTTATAATTACAGAAATCCCTCAAACGGATACAATAATATAAGCGCTGATATATTAATCTGATGCGCGAGATACATTAATCGTTAAGTAAGATACATTACATTTTATACATGATACACTAATCTGATGTACATTTTATACATAATACATTAATCTGATGCACGAGATACACTAATCTGATGCGCGAAAATGAGGAATTTTGTAGATTTGTAAAACTTATAGGGGATAATGGTAATAAGTAAACTAAAAGGTGAAATTTTTGTAATTTTTCTTAAATAATAATAGAGGGGAAAGAAATAATTAGATTTGGGTTTTTGGCCCAAATCCAATTAAAATGGCCTTTTGGCCCACCTGTCATAGAGTCTAAAGAAAACCAAAATTATGGGTTTTGGCCCATTTTAATCCAAAAGTTGTTGGCTGCTTTACTTTGGGCTTTTGGGCCCAATTTTCCCACACTAGATGTATACTAGTGTATACAATCCCGTACATCGGCTCCAGACTCCTGTACGTCGAATCCATGGAATTTGTTCTTCACTTTCGAGGGCTGGCTGACTCAATAAAAGAATTTTGGGGCCTTCGTGGCCCCCTTGGGAATGCAAAGAGAGAGTCCGCGAAGACTTAGGCAGATTTCACATGCAAACAAAGTGAAGGGAGACGCGGTTAATATATAATTTAACTAGTATGAAACAAAAGAAGATACACTAATTATATAAGGAGAAAACAATGAGACATATATACTAGGATAATGTCCAAATTAACAGAAATCAGAACTAGACATGCTGAAAATCAAACTAGAGACCTAAAAAAAAACACCAACCAAATTATGCAAATTTTAACAAGAGTAAATAAAGTGAATATGCATCTAGGCTGCCATTACAGTCAAAGGGATCAACACAACAGCTTGTATACTACAACCATACCATGAACATTACGCAGTAGCATCAAAATGAACAAGGATGCGTATGATCAGGCTAAAATAATTCTAAAAGAAACACAAAAGAAACCAATTTGCACCCAATATGCACATTCATCAAAATTTGACAAAGAAAGGCTAATACTAAGACTCATTGTCACGCCCCGAGCCTACACCCTGGGCGGGAC